GGTCATTGCCCTTGGTAACTTCGAAAAAAATATATGTATATATGCATATATATTTTAAATAACTGGTATATATTTTGATTGACACCTCTAAGATTCAAATCTCAGACAGTTGCATTGGTCTATTTAGAGGGTACAACTTACCTAACAACTTGTTTGGATGGTTGTTACATGTTGTATTGTATCGTATGTTACTTTAAATATAATGTTTGTTTTGATTGTTACTTAAACTTTATTGTATAGTATCGTTAAATCCGTTGTTATGTAACAACAAAAAGTGTCACTTTATGAAACGACCCATTTAGTGTGGTCGCATCGTTATTTTTTTTTTCTCTCATCTTGCCCTCCTTATTATTAGATAATTTTATTTTATCTTTTACCCTACATTATGAAATAATACATAACAACCATCCAAACAAGCTACAAGTCTCGATTCCTACTTCAGCATTTGCTGAAATTTTTATTCGGCATTAGTGCTCCCTCTACTTCCAAATTCTAGGTCCACCTCTGCGACACATACCCAACAATATTGAAGAGTCCGAGCAACTTAGCTAGCGTTTGGCCGTAGATCTCAAATTTAATTTGAAAAATCTGATTTGGATGAAGTTTGATTTGAAGATGAATGTGTTTGGACTTATTTGAAAAAATATGGGGGCTAACTTATACCCACAAGTTCTAAAAACTATAAAAAAATACCCAACAGTACCAAACAAATAAACTTGCTATCTTGTATATACATAACATTCGTCAATAACATTCATTATCATTATCACAAACCATATTGCTGAACATAAATAAGTTTGGTACAAAATTATCTTTTTTAATAACTAACACAATTACTAGCTATTACAATTCATCAAATTGCAATAATATTACAATATCCATCGGTCCATAAAAAATGATTGTAACTAGCTATTCTGTAATATAATCATCCCACATTATAAAATATAAAAGTTTGGGGTAATATTGAGAATTTTGGGAAAATACAACGGTTATAATTTGGCCCAAATTCAGCTTATTAGCTAAATTTGAGATTTGAAATATTTGATTTGGGCTTTAGCCAAAATGTGGGTCAAATTTATGGCCAAACATAGGTTTGAAAATAAATTTCAAATTAAATTTGGGAAATTGTATGGCCAAACAGGGGCTTAGCTTGCGACTAAATTTTCCACCTTGTTTCTAGTTGAAACATGGGGACAAGACTAATATCAGCAATTAGTTTAAAACTCTTTCTCTAAAACTGTTCATAATCAACAAGGTCACTGCTAGAAATTTTTTTTCACCACAAATATAGCGTTCAATTAAATTTTGGGGTTTAGTATTTTTTTTCTATATAAAACAACAACTGTAAAAATCAGAACTAATTACTACTTTGTATACGTACTACTTAAAACTCACAAACTGGCAACAGATTAAAGATAAAATATATCTCAGACAAAACAAACTAAAAATTAAAGTAAAAACATTCATAAAAAAAGAAGCTCAGAAAAACAGAGAAATTGACCTTTAGAGAGCTTTTCTCTTCTTTGTAAGGGAATTTGTGTTCATGAGTGGAGGGGTTTTACCTTGCTTTTATATGTGGAGTTTTGGGTTAAAAGGAAATAATTTTCCCTGTGGTAAACATAGTTTTACTGTGTACACACGCGTGTGTATGGGATTGGAGGTTAATTAATTTTCACAATGAACTAGCATGGGATATACTATATATGTGTATCCGGTGGTATTCTGTATATGTACTGTATTTCGTGTATGTGTTGTAGGGGTCGTTTGGTTGAAAAATAAGTTATTCCTGAGTAGATTATTCTGGAATTGTTATATCACCCTCTCATAGGGATAAAAATAATATTACAATCCTGGGATAACTAATTTTCCGATTAGTTATTCCGTAATTTTATCCTAATCAAACGCGGGATAAACTCATCTCTAATTAATTACCCTTATCCTTCGTACCAAACGAGGCCATAATATTTTGTTTGCAGTGCACGTATTGAGTGTTGTGTGTATAGAAGAGAAATTTTATTTTGTGTCTCATACAACTGACACTAGTTGTATGAGGCTCCTTTTTGTCTCACAAATTTGTGAACCCCAATCTTACGCTTCTGGGTAGGGGTGCGCATCGGTCGGTTCGATTCGGTTTTGAATATTATCGGTTTTGCCTATCGATTATTGGTTGACAAATATCATAACCCGATAATCAAACAAATAAGATATTGGTTATCGGTTAATCGGTTATCGATCATTATCGGTTCGGTTATCAGTTTACCCGATAAGATAAAACAACTAAAACAATTTCGCAATATAAAAAAATATCGAGTTCTCAATTATCTTGAGCCAGAAATCAAGAAATAGATCAGATTTCCGTTGTCTTTGACAACTTTCGGATGTGTACATATAGGATTACAAAGGTGGAATGAAATATGATTGTATTGTTAATAAAATGTGATTTTGTATCCTTAAGAACAGTTAAACAGAAGTTTACTGCTTAGGATTCTTAATATTTCAAAAATAGAAACATTTGTTAAAATTATAAGTGGATAATGCAACAACACCAAATTTATACATTTCTTGTCAAAGGCCATTTCATTTCTCATAAAACAGAATCTCCAACAACATTTAAAGACTAGACAAACGATTAGAACAAGATCTCAAACA